CCCCCCCCCCAAAGTTATAGTTTAACCTTTCTCAGCAGAGTTCAATGCAGGGGTCATGTATATTCCCAGTGTTATACATTTCTCCTCTAGCTCACTGTGAGGTTGGGGAATGGACACACTGGGGTGCATGTGTTCAGAAACAGAGCATGCGGACCCACCGAGGGGACAGAGGACACGCACCCGGCCAGTCCTGCACTTTCCAAGTGTATATGGTAACCCCTGCTCACACTTGTCAGAGATCAGGAAGTGCGCCATCAGAAAGAGACTCAGGAGCAGCCTGTAATGAGTTAAAAGAAGCCTCTTCTAAACCATTTGATCTCATCCTTCTTTTGGCTGCCTTTCAGGGGTCACCACAGTGGATCAACTCACCCCCTTTTTAGCATCCTCCTCTATCATACCAGCCCTCTGAATGTCAATTCAATTCAATTTTATTTTATTTATATAGCGCCAAATCACAACAACAGTCACCTCAAGGTGCTTGAAGGTCCTCCTTCACTACATCCTTGAATCTCCCGTGTCTTCCTTTTTTTCCCCTCCTGCCTTGCAGCTCCATCTTTAGCATCCATTGTTGAATTTATGCACTAATGTCTTCTAATTTAAAAACAAGTAGAAACTCTTTCATCTAAAAGAAGCCAGATTTTTCTATACAGCCCAACAGTTATGACTGAAGTGGATGGATATGACTAACTTTATTAAAGTGCTTGTGTACATCTTCATCTGGACATGCTTGTATGTTAGCTATTAATTTCCAAGGTTCATCTGTGCTTCAGTTTATGCCTCACTAGAACACTACTCTTTTGGGGACTAAAATCAACACAAGAGCCTGGGGCAAGTATGGGGCAAATTATACTTTCACATTTAATGATGAAAACTTTGTGTTTGTGCTTGTTAGAAGCTCAAAATGGCTGAGAAATGCAAAATGTTTAATGCATACAAAAGATGCACCAGTGCTGTGGATTCCCTAAACACTTCAAGGTTCTCCATGCACTGAGATAAGCCACAAAACCAACACCAACTCCCACCCGCCATGGATCTCCCTGACAACAAAAGTGCCTCAAACATGATCCTAAGGATCTTCTATTATGCCAGTGGTTTTAATCCTAACGTTGCTGCTGATTGGTTTATAATTACAGTTTGTAATTTTGTCATCCTGTGTGTCTATCTCTCATTCCTGTGCAAAAATTTCACCGCTTTCCTACTGAACTGTTAACACAGATAATAAAGTTCAGATAATTTGATTGTATTTGCTAAATAATATAGCAAATATAATCACCAGATGTAGCAACTGCATGAAAATGTTATAGAATCACTGCCATTCTACTGCTGCAGGACATTTTCTGTGCCACTGATAAATGTGAAACTAATCCCTGCACAAAATATTAAAACATGCACTTGTTGTATAAATGACATTTGACCTCAGACAAAATGTGAACCATGTTAAACCTTTTTCTAAACATATTTATTTGTAACTTTTTTTTCCAACATATTTTAACCCCTTGATGCCAAGTGCATTATATTTGAGACATGACTTTTTGAAGCTTCATTAGTGTGATTTTTTTTTCTTTGCCTGGTAAACCTAAATAAAGACATTTTTAAGACAAAAGCTAGATGTAGCAAATATTATGCAAATTTAAAGGCATATATGCAAATTACTTTTTGATTATTTCTTTAAAAATGTGTTTGAGCTGGGTGTTAACACCATAGGGAATGAGTATTCAGTATGACCATGTATATCTTTAACTTGATGAGTAAGAATTTATCAAACAATAGTTTTTTAACTCTGGGTTCAGTTTTTTAGAGTTCTGGTAACAGGGTTGCGCCAAGCACAACACAGTAACTACAATGTCTAATTAAAAGGGAAAATATTATACCTTAGTAGGACAAATGTTTTTTTTTTTTTTACGGTTTATTATTTGTTTTTCTTAAGTAAATCGCAGTTATTTTAAAAAATGAAATAAAGTTAGTTCTTTTTTATGGTGTACAACATACTAAACCATAACAGGTTTAATGAAGCCCTCCTTTTACTGTGAAATACACTCCTTTTTTACCTACTTTGTGCAGCCACACACACACCAGATCTACACAACATATGTATCACCGCTGGAAAGTGTTTGCAGCACATCCAGCAGTACTGAAGTTAGCTGGGCAGGGCACAGAGCTCAACTAACGTAGCAACACAGTCATTTCCTGTCATACATAACTTCATAACCAAATATAAATGCAGCTGTGGAAATATCTCAACCTGGCTTTCAGCTGAGGACGCTTCTCGAGGTATCCCGAGTTCAGGTGAGTGTATTTATAGGCCACTTTAGCAGCCCGGAGACACACTGACAGCTAGCAGGCTAGCTACATGCACTGCTGGAGCTAGCAGGCTAGCTACATGCACTGCTGGAGCTAGAAGGCTAACTTTGGCTGAATGAATGATTTAACTTATCCGACTGTAGATTGGTTACAGCCACAAAAGCAATGCCAGAGTTTAACATTATGACAAGTAGTTTAATATCTGTTTATACAACTTGGGGCTGAAAAGCTAACGTTAGCACAACAGTAGCCTAGCTGGGTGGCTACATTAGCTCTGCCAAACAGAGAGGCCTTTGTTGTTCTATTTGCAGACCGATAAAGTCACGAGAAGTATGCTGGCCTGTCTGTTGTTTGTAATATTTAGGCTTTCAAAGCTACAGTTATTTGGGAAGTAATGTTCAAAGGGGGGTATTTGCCCTGAAAACAGTTTTGTGCTATATGCGAACGAGGGCGTTCCCAGAAGTGTCAGCAGAGCAGTGCAGTGCATGCTAACTTGGGGCTGCATTCCCATGTTTTTGTCAGTGAGTCACTAAATCTGTTTAGCTTGTAGCATGCATGTCCAATTTGCTGTGCTGTGACTCTCTCCCTGCAGCATGGCAGGCTGTGGAGAAGTGGACCTCTCAGCAAACGCCCTGCGACCTTCCAAGCTCATTGAGGAAGTGGGAGATGCTGCCTCCACCAGCACCAGCACTACCCCGGAGTGTGCCATCTGCCTGCAGAGCTGCGTCCATCCTGTACGCCTCCCGTGCTGCCATGTCTTCTGCTTCCTGTGCGTGAAAGGTGCCTCCTGGCATAGCAAGCGCTGTGCTCTCTGCCGACAGGAAATCCCTGAGGACTTCCTGGAGCGGCCTGTTCTCCTGTCACCTGAAGAACTGAAGGCAGCGGCTTCTGGGTTGAGCCGAAGCGGGGGAGTAGGAGGTGAATCCTGCGGAGACTATGCATGGTACTATGAAGGACGCAACGGTTGGTGGCAGTACGATGAGAGGACAAGCCGAGAGCTAGAGGAGGCCTTCGCCAAGGGCAGAAAGAGCACAGAGATGCTGATTGCGGGGTTTCTTTATGTGGCTGATCTGGAAAACATGGTCCAGTACCGCAGAAATGAGCATGGTCGCAGGCGCAAGATAAAGAGGGACATTCTAGATATTCCTAAAAAGGGGGTGGCGGGATTAAGGTTAGACCCTGAACCTACCCCTGTTCCTGCTTTACCTGTCATTGCTCCGGCAGCAACAGAGCGTGTCAGCTCAGCTGATGGATCGGACTCTGCTGGCCAACCGCAGTCTTCCTTTCCTGTTATTGTGTCTTGTCCCCCTGTTAGACCTCAAACACTCCTGGGGCGTCATCATCTCACCAGTCCTCTGTCACCTTCGACTCTGGAGGCATCTTTTTCTCAGCTTCTAATCAGCCAGCCTGAGGGTGAAGAGGTAGAAGGAGATGACGAGCTTCAGATGTATGAATCTGCATCTGGCAACAGTGAGAGTGAGGACGAGAAGGAGTGCGAGAGAGATCGAGAAGAATCAGTGGCACGAAGAAGACATAGGCAGAGGCCGCTAAGAGAGATCCAGCCAACCAGAGTCCCTCCAAGGGGCAGGCCTTCTAGTTCTACACTCAGTCTCCGCTCACGTAGTCCTGATGGGCAGTGCACTGTGACAGAAGTGTGACTGGAACATTTGAAAAGTTCTCAAACTCTCATCAGTTCAGCAAAAAAGTTTAAAAACCAGTATGCATCTTTAAAAGATCCCATGGATGGAGCAATACCTTTTGAATGTGTTGTTGCCCGTGTCACTGGGTGATTAACCTGTTGACTGATGTGCCAAACATTATCCTGAAATTATTGTTGGAATAATTAAAATTCTCCCTCCACTTTAATGTAAACTTCATTCTGTCGGTGGCCCTGTGTCTGTTGAGCTGTGTTCAGACCAAATTCATGAAAATATAGAGAGTAGTAAAAGCGAGAAGAAGGATTACAGGCGGTAGCTGGAATCAGGTCCTCCAGTTTTGAGAGAGTTTAGAGAATCCATTTTATGACTCTTAGCAAAATTTCCACTGAAGTTGTAATGCAAGTAATTCAGCTTGCAGACTTGCATACTTTCCCCAGTTCATGTCACCTGAAGCAAATTAACATTTTTACATAGACATTACATGAAATTGCTACGTGTGGGATAATGTAATAGCTAACATCATCATAACACCTTCTGATATAGGTTGATGTTTCATGTTACCTTTGTTGTACTCCTCTCTCATGAGCAGAAACAACTAAAACCTTAGAAAGGAATATAATTTTTTTTTAAGGTCGTTGTTATAGTCGTAAACAGTTTGCAGTTCATGGCTCAGTGGTTATGCAACAGCAGGCTTGTTCCTAAAACAAAAAAGTGACGTGCTTTAGAAAGCTATCCAGTCTATAAACTACCATAAGCTCACTGCCTTATCATAAGATGTGACAGTGTAATACAGCCCTTTTGAAATTCAATGATTCTCTTTTTACCAATTTTATGAGCTCATTGTTAATGTGTCTGATTTATGTATATCTAAATGTTTTTTCCTCTTTTCTCCATTTTTAGAGTGATGGTTTAAAAATCAAGCCTAAAATGTAGCAAAAGTTACAGAGGATTGAAACTGCTTCCTTGCTGTGATGATTAGGTTTTTTTTTTAAAGCCTAATCGGGATCTAATTATTAGCTATTTAAATTTGAGTGTGTGTGTGTGTGTGTGTGTGTGTGCGCATGCGCGCGTGTGTGTATTAGAGGAGGGAGGCCATTTCCCCCCCTGGTTTGGTGTGATAGTCTTATTTAATAATGATGTGTTTTTTCTTTTGTTGTGAGCACTGTTGGGGGTTGAAAAGCTATTGGCAGAACCACTGGAAAGTGTTGGGTTATATATGTAGAGAGACACATTTGGATTTCTATTTCTTGTCACAGGGCTACTATCAAAGCTTTGGCATTGACGTGTACTTGAATGAGCTCACACTGTCCTCACAAGCTCTGTCACCCTCACGACGCCTTCCCTCCCCATGTTCTTGCTTCAGCTTTTAAGTTTTTGCTGTACCTGTCTTACTGAAGTCTGAATGTTTCCCTTGTGGTGTTTTTGTCAAGTTATTAAAATTGTTTATCTGTGATTTAAAGTCACATAATGGAGTGTGTTGATTTTCATTTATGATGGATGAATATGTAATTCAGTGCATTAGAGGATTATGGGATGACTGGAAGCTCTGATCCATGGACTTGCTTGCAAGGAGTGTCCTGGATTTAATGTTTCAAGAGTCCACAAGATGGAGGTGTTGCTCAGATTTCTGAAACCCTTAAGCAGCTCCATACAGACTGGGTGGTTGAAACCTTGCCCATGATGCAACTAAGAGTATTTTTGTGCCTATTGTGAATAATAACATTTTTAACATTGGAATTACTAACTCAAGCATACATTGTACTGGAAAGTTGCTGAATTCAGCTGCAGTTTGTGTCAAAGTGAATACTTGAGTTTTTATTTAACATTTATTTGTTCTTAAATGATTACGAATCTTAAGTGGACAGAAATATTCAGTTTGTGTGTTTAAAATCATTACTGCCTTTTCTATAATCCATGAGCAACATGTACATTTATTTGTATAAATTCTGGGTTCCCTGCACATTTTTCAGTAAAATGGAGCTGATCCAATCCAAAACATCAACTTATTCACAGCCTTTAAAAGGTACAAACAGACTAACAGTTAACACCACTGCACTCCCACTGTATCTCCATCAAAGTCTTGCTCACATTTGCTTTGGTTTGACGCATTAGTCTGTATGCATCACTAAAGGCTGTGACTTAAACACTGGGCTCCGGACCCTTCTGCCCTTTGGATTTATTTATATGATGCTCTGAAACCCCACCAAAGCCGCTGAGCTGCAGCATTTGCCAAGTGAAGAAAACCGCAGGCTTGATGCGTGCAGTTGGACTGTGACTTGAATTAGAAACATGGCTCTGTGGGCCAGACTTTGTCTGTGTCTTTTCAGAGCTTTCACAAAGCTGTGTGCACTCTTTAGTCAGTGGCGATGGTGGCCAGATGTCGTGTTTCTGTTCCTGGGTAAAATAATTTTCATCTGCAGCCTGGAAAATAAGTGAATGCAAATTTGTTTTGTTTTTGAAAAAAAGAACATCTTCATTCTTTCAGCAGTTTTAGAAAGCATTCAAACACAATTTTGTATACTTTATCGAGTTGTAAATGGGTAAAAACGTAACACTCAGTTTGTAGTTTTTAGTCATGTTAACAGTTAAACAAAACAAACTTCTGACCATGATAAGTGACTATGTAAGGTGTGTTTTGTTTCAGGAGGTGAGCAAGAACTAGCTGTCACTCTAAAAGGGCTTCAGGAGTCCTCTGCAGAGACAGGAAAACCTGCTCATAGATAACCACCATCATACGGGCCTTTATGGCAAATAAGCCAGATAGAGGATACCCTGATTGGAATACAAATGACTTGCCATTCATATGTGTTGGCAGGCTCCATTCTGTTTCTGGCAATGCTTAGCACTAAAGAAATACAAGAAAAATATGGAATCGCCACACTTAGAGGATGTTCATTTAGCTGTTTGCCTTTATGAAATAAACAAAGCCAATATGACAAAAACATTTTTGTATTCAAATGCTGGACATTCTGACTTCATGAAACATTGGCGTTCTGACAGAACTGTAAGAAATGTGATCAAATGAAAACCAGAAAACAATGAAAATGAAGCATGACCTGTGAATGTTCAGAAGTTAATCATAAATTCGTATTGGCTGAAGATTTTAATCTGATTAAAAAAAACAAAAAAAAAAACATCCATTCTGGCTCCAAGTTTATCCATCAACTGCTCTTTGAGAAAGTTGGACTCAGTTTGATTGAGAAAATTGCTTTTATTAGTAAAGCCCATACATCAACCAGGGGTGTCAGGCTTTGATGTTTTTCTGGTTTTGTTGATAATGGTTTAACTTTGGATCTGGACAGAAATATTCCATTAATTAAAATAATTATATATAATAGTTGTTCACATATCATCTACCTCCATGTCACCCCATTCCTAGCTTCCTATTCTGTCACACCGACCTTCTGCGTTGCGTGTCCTCCTTCACTGCATCCATGAATCTTTTCATCATCCTTTGCCCAGTATATCCACTGTCCAAACCATCTCAGGATGCCTCTCTAACATTCCTACAAACCGCTCAACCTGAGCTAAAGTACAAATTTTTAATATCGCTATCTTGACTGAACATCCTCCAATTGTGGTGACTGCAAATTTTTGCCAGGAGTTGCATCACCAAGAATCTTCAAGCTGTGGAGGTGCAGTTCAGCAAAATGTGCAGGGATCCAGCTAAAGAGTTTCTGAAAGAAATGACCTGAGTGCAACAGTGCAGTTATCAATATAGCAGTGAGCCTCACTACAACACTACAGTTGAGTGCATATCAAGAAAGTGTGCCTGAATCCTGTGGTGCCAAGAGATGTACCCCCCAAAATTAAAGCTTTAAATACTGCGTAACATTGACAGATTGATGGGTAGACTGGGCCTTACCACCTTCTGAGGTCAGTATATTTCCTTTTCTTTTCCCTTTTATGTGTATTGCAAAAAATAGTATTCACCAAAGCATCACGTGTTGCTGAGAAGGTAGTTTATGGTGAGTTTTATGATTTTCTTGTTCTCTAAAAATACCTTCCAGCTGTAGCCGACAACCAAACCAATACAGTAAATCAGTTTTCCACATAACTGAAACACAACGCCTGCTTGGAACCGAGAGGCTCCGCAAGCTCAGGAGTATATCTATGGGTGCTTGTCACCACAACCAGTTGCATTTACATTACATGCAATTTGATCTATTGTTTCTATGAAAATATTGATTTCAGTAGCTTTCAATTTTTTGGAGACCTATACATGTACCTGAACACAGCTGATACTTGTCTTGTGTGTGTTCCATTCATTTACACATGAAGGCTAAACTCTGTCAAGTACTTAAAAAAAATTTGCATTACCTCACCACTGTAGCAGTGTATTCTTTTCTGACTGATATATTTTTGTATACGTTGTTGTGCAACAGTCAAAACATCATAAATATAATCACTGAACAACTAATGTGATGCACATGAATAATAACGTGGATATTACATTGTGCTCTTTTGCTTTTACACAGAAACAGAGACTGTGTTTAGATGGAACATCTGCTGGGGCGGAAGATGAGATGTGGCATTAGCGTGAAAATAGCATGAAGGACAAATGAAGAAGAGCAGACATGATGTTGACATAGAAACAAAGATGTCTTTCTGAATTTATTTTTTTTTAAACCTGACTGTGAGTCTCATTGCATCTATGATGAGAGGTCATGGCTACTTCTGGTCTGGGCATGCACTATATGATATGGCTATTGCTGAGTGCAGGCAGACAGACGGGAGACAAGCCTGCTATATGTTTTCAGACACGTAGCTGCCCTCTAACGATCTCACGTGAACCTCATATACTGGTCAAATGCCTTCTGTAGCCTAACTTTTCACACTACATAAAATACATACCCTGTCTCCAATACATCCACAAATAGTCTCATCACTCTCGCCACCCTGAGGCCCAAAGTGGAGCATTGTTATTGTGGGGATTGTTTCTAACCTTATTTTGTTGAACATGGTGGATTGGTTGAGTCCATTAAATACAGGCTCAGGTTTTCTTATACAAATTCTATTGAATATTAAAATGTTTATTTTGTAAGAGAATAAAAGATGTTAGTACACTGTTTAGACTGTTACAAGAACCATTAGCATGTGGCCTCTGTCTTGCAGCTGTGCATGATGTGTCTATGCATATATGCACAGTAGGTCATCAGTATTTCTAACCATAATGCAGAGATTCACAGACAAGGTACCTCACTCATGCAGGAGCCAAAAATGACTTCACTTCTACTGTAACACTCATCGACCTAACACCATTAGCCTATCAAGTAACATGCCTCAGTAAGCCCAGTGCTACTGAACCATTTATAACAGTGACGTATCACATCATTACTATGAAGATCGTAAAGTTTATATTATGAGTCTTCTCCATTTCTAAAAACAGTTTAATGTGATTGCACACTGTATTTTCCGTTTGGTGTCTACTTGCTACCAAATGAAGGCTAAAGGGAGAACTAGACAGGTTAGTACTGAGCTGACAGTTTAAGGTACTGATATTAGCTTTTGCACAGGAAGAAATGTTCTTTAGAGATCTAGCTGCTCTCTAGTTTATACAGTGTGGGAAATAATTATTTGGTCATCCAATGAATTTGTAAGTTTGCCCTCTTCTAAATAAATGAAATGAAAAAAGTTTCACAATATCAACCAAAAATCCACATTAACAAAGTTACATAAAACTTAAATAAATTCATCTCCCATGCAAGATTGTTCCTTCTGGGGGTGAGAATCATTACGAGAAAGGTGGCAGAACACTCTAAAACTCCCCTGTAGCTCGTTAATGATCTAATGACATTCGGGATCACAGTGACCAAGAATGCCATTAATAATACATCCATCCATTCACTTCCGCTTATCCTTTTCAGGGTCGCGGGGGGCACTGGAGCCTATCCCAGCTGTCATGGGGCGAGAGGCGGGGTACACCCTGGACAGGTCGCCAGTCTGTCACAGGGCTAACACACAGAGACAGACAACCATTCGCACTCACATTCACACCTAGTGGCAATTTGGATTATCCAATTAACCTATCCCCACAAATTGCATGTCTTTGGACGGTGGGAGGAAGCCGGAGTACCCGGGGGGAGAACATGCAAACTCTACACAGAAAGACCCCGGCCTGATGGTGGAATTGAACTCAGGACCTTCTTGCTGTGCGGCAACAGTGCTAACCACCTTGCCACCTTGCATAATACACTAGACTGCAATAGACTGAATCTTCCAGTGGCTGCAAGGTCACTCTGCTTTTAGGTGAGCAAATAAATGATTCAGAAAGAGCTTGAAAGAAAGTGCTGTGATCAGATGAAATCAAAATTGGGCTCTTTGGTTTTAGAAATGCTGAGTATGACCCAAAGAACACCATCCCCACAGTCAAGCATAGGGTTGGAAACATGCTTTGGTGTCGTTTTCCACTAATGGTACAGAACGATTTTACCAAAATCAGGGGCAAATGGACGGAGCCATG